CACCGAAGGCCTCAGTGGCAGGGTTCGCATGGCGGCCCCGCCCCATTTCGGCACACCCCTCACGAGGATCGTGGCCCCACAGGCACACCCCTCACGAGGATCGTGGCCCCACAGGGAGCTCTACCGAAGGCCTCAGTGGCAGGGTTCGCATGGCGGCCCCGCCCGATTTCGGCGCGCCCCTCACGAGGATCGTGGCCCCACAGGGAGCTCCACCGAAGGCCTCAGTGGCAGGGTTCGCATGGCGGCCCCGCCCCATTTCGGCACACCCCTCACGAGGATCGTGGCCCCACAGGGAGCTCCACCGAAGACGAAATACACAGTTGCGGCATCCACTACTGCATATGGTTGGGTTCTTCGCCAGTCTAATTTTTTGAGGGGGGGGGCACTTAGCATTTCGAAAATCGATGTTCGGCGGTTAGGGGCGTTTTTTTTTTTTTTTGGGGGGGGGGCTTAGCGCTTCGAATACATATTTTCGGCGGTTAAGGGCGCTTTTTTTCTTGTTTTTTTTTTTTTTTTTTTGGGGGGGGGGGGGCGCGGCACCGGGAAAATCGATGCTCGCCGGGTAAAAGCGCTTTTGGGAGGGAGGGGGGGGGGAGGGCCTTAGCACAACGAAAATCGATTATCGGCGGTTAAAGGCGCTTTTTGTTGAGGGGGGGTGCGTGGCGCGCGACAATTTTTGCGCGTGCTCCGCATTCCACTCGCCCTTGAGCTCTAGCATGCCATGTTAGAGCACAAATTGTCTTGTACAGCCAGGTCTGTGCTCTAGTATGCTATGTTAGAGCTCAATCTCTGATCTACCATCGCACGTTATATCACACTTTCTGATCTAACATAGCATGTTAGATCGCAACATGTGATCTAAAATGCGATGTTAGATCGCAACTTGTGATCTAAAATGCCATGTTAGATCGCACTGGGATCTAACATGACATGTTAGGTCACAAGTTGTGATATAACATGCTATGTTAGATCACAGGTTGTGATCTAACATGGTATGCTAGGTCACAGCTTGTGATCTAACATGCTATGTTCGATCACAAGTCGTGCTCTAACATGCCATGTTAGACTTCAACTTGTGCTCGAACATGCCGCGGTAGAGCTCAAGTTGAGCCGTGCTAAGGTTTAGCACAAGTTTTGCCCGAACATGCTATGTTAGAGCAGAAATTGTGCTCTAACATGCTCTGTTAGACAATTTCTGCCAGGAAAGGCATCTACCGCGCCCCCCCCCCCCCCCCAGGGGCTCTTCAAACTGCGCGGACGGCAGGGGCATGATCCCCCAGTTTCTACCACAGTTCCGCGCAACGAGTTCGTCACCATTGCGCCTGACGACGCGGCGGACATCAGAGCAGAGCGAGAGCGGCAGAGAGCCGTGGGCGATAAGGGAGAAAGAAGAAAGGGCGGCAAGACACCGAAACCGCCTAAAGCTTCGCATGAGTTGATCTGCTGGTCTAACATGCCATGTTGGATCACACATGGGATCTAACACGCCATGTTAGATCGCACTTTGTGATGTGGATCTCTCCCTCCCCCTCTCTCTCTCTCTCTCTCTCTCTCTCTCTCTCTCTTTGCCACTCTCCCTCTGTCTGTCGCCTTCCCTCTCCTACAGCGCGCCCGCGGCGGCGCTGCCCGCCGCCGGGGGCCCGCGGCGGGGAGGCGGGGGAAGAGCAGGGCAGGCGGGGAAGAGCAGGGGCATCGATGGCAGCGCTGGTGGGCGCATGTCTGTCGCGGTCAGCCCAGGCCGAATCCACGCTCGCGGTGGGCCCTGTTGCTGCGCCCCGAGCGATCAAGCTGCCTTGGCGAGCTCCCCCCGCCCCACCAGCACTGACTTGCGCGCAGGCAGCCGCGGGAGGCAGCCACGCGGCGGGGACAACGAGCCGCGGCGACGATGGGGCCTGCGGGGCAACAAGCGGGGGAACGATGCGGGACCTGAAGGGGGGAGTTATTGCCCCTGTCGCAGCCAAGGGGGAACTCATTGTAGCTGTTGCAGCCAACGGATCTGCACGCTTACCAATGAGATCAGCATGCCTCAGGAATGCTGTTGCCAGCGCCCAGGATATGCTCGCGGTGATCAAAGCCCTCTTGGCACCTTTATCGCGGCACCTGTCCTGGGCGCGCTTAGGAAGACGCGGGGGACTGACTGGCGATGTTCAGGCAGCGATAATGCGCGACCGGAAGACGTCAAAGTGTCAGACCAGATTTGGCCCCAGTCTGAGTAGGATTCGGAGCCCTCGGACGGCGCCGCCACCAACGCGGGCGCGAATGAAGCTCCCCCCTGGCTGACGAGCTGAGCGCGGGGGAACTGGCCGATCGGGCGCGGGTCCGCGAAGACATTGCTATGATCACCAGCAGCAGGAAGTGGCATTAAGAGATGGAGCCCTGGCCGGCGACGGCCGTCGCACGCCAGCTTGCCCTTCCGACAGAGGGCGGAGGAGGAGCAGGAAGAGGGCGATCACGGGGGAGGAGCAAGCGGAGGAAGGGGATGCAAGGACAGGGGAGGATGAACGCCAGGGCCATGAGCAGCCGTTTCAGCCAGGAGGCAAAGGGATGCAGGAGCAAGAAGGATACGGGATGGGAGAGCTTGCATCCAGGAAGGAAGGGGGAGGGGAGCTGGAGAGCACGCAAAGCAATCATCCACGAGATGAGCGTGGCCTGAGTTCCTGCGAGAGCAGCGCAGCCTGCAGGCAATTGTTGTGACGCCGGGGCGCGCAATCTTGTCAATGCAAGCATCCTTCATAGAATTGAAGGCGCGCAGAGCACGGTTTGAACCGAAACGCGCTGGCGCGCGGCCAGCGAAGTGCATTCGTTCCAAGCAAATCCCCTGCGGGGTGCCGTGGAATACGAAAGTGCCGCAGTGGGCAGCAGATTAGCACGCTGGCCTCGCTGGCGACGTCTGTACTGCGCCAGCCTGCCGGCCTTGGCGGCTGAACACTTACAGAGTAGCGGGGTCGCCGTTGCAGCCAATGCCTGGTCAAGCTGTCCGCGGGGCTCGCCCGAGGCTACAGCGGTCTAAGCTTTGCGGATGCGGCCCTGTGGCCCTGCGACACTGCGAAGCTCCGCCAATGCGGCAGCAGTCTCAGTATCATCCTCGTGGACGGGCACGGGCGGCCCCATGTCGGCGTCTGACTCCGCCTCGCACATCCTCTCGGCCGCGTTGCTCCACTCGTCCCGCGCAACCAGGGGCGCGACCTTATTGTACAGAGGCTGCGGGCGGGGCCTCCTGTGGCATCGCCCGCCTATGTTGACGTAGACATTGATCAGGATGCCGAAGATGTCACGACGAAAGCAGTGGCCGTTGCACGGCCTTTGTGAGGCACTTGGAGGCCGCCGATCCAGCACTTGTTCTCCCGGCGGCAGCTGCCCCACTCTGCGCGGCGCACAAAGTGGGCGTAGTACTGGTGAGTCGGCTGGACGCGGCAGAACACGACGTCCCCGACGGCAATGGGGGACTCGTCCTTCTCGATGATGTGGGGGGGCCCCTCCATCGCTGTTATCGCCTGAATCGGGTGGCCGACTGCGCCAGAGGCCACATGCTGTTCCCCGAGCTCGAGTAGAACACGGGAGCGCCCAGTATGGTGCGCATCTGAGTCCCGGACTCCCCAGACTCCCCAGACTCCCCAGACTCCCCGGACTCCCCGGACTCCCCGGACTCCCCGGACTCCCCGGACTCCCCGGACTCCCCGGACTCCCCGGACTTCCCGGACCCCCCGGACTCCCCGGATTCCCCGGACTCCCCAGGCTCCCCGGACTTCCCGGACTCCCCGGACTCCCCGGACTCCCGGGACTCCTGGACTCCCCGGACTCCCCGAACTCCCCGGACTCCCTGGACTCCACGGACTGCCCGGAATCCCCGGGCTCTTTGGTGATGGCACCGACATATGAGATCTATGTCAGATGAAGTCACGTATAAGTTACTTCAATTATATCTGAAGTTATTTGTAAATAACTTGAAATCACTTGTAGTGAGATGTGTTGTGATCCTGCAGCTACCATCCACATCTAACTTAATCCGTTAACATATATACTTAAATCACATGTAGAACATATGTGAATTGTGTGCACCCAATTGCCATACTTATAAGTTACTTATAGTTATCCGCATAAATCAGATAAGTTTAAGTCCGATAAGTCTGTTTTTTTCGTCTGCTTTTTGAATAGGGGGTCGGAAACCAAAAAAACCCGCAGGTTTTTTTCAGCACAGTGTTTCGCCGGGCGCCAGGCGACCGAGAAGGCCGTTCATCACCGAGCTCAACCCGCGCAGCCTGGGGGGCAGGCAAGAGGGGGCGGGAATGGCGGGGGGGGGAATCGGGAGGGGATGCCATGCGCATTGGCGGCACACCGCCCGCACTTCTCATCGCGGCGCGTTCTGATGTGATTCGTTTCGGCGGCCCACCGCCCACGTCATGCAAATTCTGAGCAGTTTTATCGCATTGGCGGCGCACCGCCCATCGGGGCGTTTTGCCCGCGTATTGCAATTTGTACGTTTTGCACATGTTGATTGAAGTTTCGTCGCGTTGGCGGTGCGCCGCCCACGTTCCCTCGATTGCGCGAGGCGTTTCTTCGCGCATCGGCGGAGCACCGCCCACGCCGCGCGTTTCATCAGAATTCGTCATCGAATTTGGCGGTACACCGCCCACGTTCCCGTGATTGCGCGATGCGTTTCTTTCGCGTTGGCGGTGCACCGCCCGCGGCGCATGCCTCGCCCGAATTTGCCATCGCATGTGGCGGCCCACCGCCCACGTCACCTTGATTGCGCGAGGTGCTTCTGCACTCGTTGGCGGTGCACCGCCTTCGGCGCACGTTTCATCATATACCGTTTGTTTGGTCGCATTGGCGGCGCGCCGCCCAGGAGGGGGGAGGGGGGAAGAGGGGAGAGGAGAGGAGAGCAAAAGGGAGACATGAAGGGCCATGCCATTTCCCTTCGCCACAATACGCTGCCCCTGTCCCACCGAGCGCTTCTGGAGGGGCCGCGGGGCGGGCGCCCCCCGTCGCGCCGCGGCGCGATGGAACGCGCCCAGGCTGCCCTGGGCGAGGCAGCCGCGGCGCTGGCAGCGGCGAGCGGGCCTTCCAGGGGCGCTGCAGAGCAGCTGCACTTCGGGAAGGTGCGCGCGCTCATCGAAGGCCAAAGGTGAGGCTCGGGTCAAAGATCCCGTACGGGCGAGAGGCCATCCGTTCCCCCTCGAGGAGGTCCCCGCCTCCGTTCGGCGGAAGGCCGCCCGCTCCCCCCTCCCCCCCGCCGTCTAACATTCCCCCGTCGTTTTGCAGGTGGACGGCCACGGACAAAGGGCAGCTGCTGACCCAGCTCGGGCAGACGGGGTTCAGTCACGATTTGGTCGGCGCCGCGACCGAGTGGCTCTGCGGGAGGCGCACGAAGGCCAAATGGGCAAAGTTACGAGTGCTTCGTGGAATTGCTGACTGCCTCCGCGTGGCGCGCACTGCTGAGCCCAACCGAGTCGTTCGCTTCGAAGTTTGTCATGTTGATGCGCCACTTGGAGCGCCTCGGGCTTCGGAACCCTTCCGAGCCGACGTTTGGCATGCTAGCCGCGTGCATGTTCCTGGCGTGCCGGCGATCAGGCATCGAGAAGAACTCGCCGACTCCGCAGCTCTTGGACGTGTACTTGCAGTTGGCGAAGACCACGTGGCGTTCCCCTGCCTACACAGCTGCTCGAGGCAAGGCGACCGAGTTTGTCGGCGCGCCCCCCCCCTCGGCGGCGCTGTTCCAGCAGGAGAGGCCGACGCTGCGCGAGCAGGCGTTCGCCTCGGAGGGGCCCGTGCAGCCGACAATTGGGCTTCTCGAGACGCAGGTCCTCGGAAAGCTCATCAGCTTGCGCGGCAACAGGAACGCAACGCTCGGCGCCCAGGCAACGCCACAGCGGGCGGCGTTGCCGCCGACCGCCTTCGCGCATCTGCCGCCGCCTTCTCCGATGCAAAGCGTTGCGGTTGCAGCCGCGACGATTGCCGCGACGCCTCCCTTGGGAGCCGCGACGCCAGCGGCGTTGCCGTTGGGGGTGATCCCAACGCACAACACCCGCGGCGGGTGGCCGAACCCAGCGGCGGCCGCCCTCTCGCAGCGCGGGCCGACGACTCCCACTCCAGCAGCTCCCGCGGGCGAGCCTGCCGCGAACATCGCGGGCGAGCCTGCCGCGATGTCGGGAGCGGCGCCTGCAGCCGCGGCCTCAAAGTTGGGTGATGGCGCCAAGGTCAAGGCATCGGCCGTTGACGCCATGGTGCTGAGCTCGAGCGAGTCCGAGGTGGACGCGAAGGAGGCGCCGCAGAAGAAGGCAAAGGTTTTTGGACGGTAACCTGGACCCGCCCCCGCGGCCCCCGCGATTCACGGGGGCGCGCCTCTGCCCAAGGCAGCGGCGCGCCCTCTGCGGGGCGTCGCAGGCGCGGCGATTGGTTATTGCCACTTGCCACTGTCAAGGTGGATCCGAAACTGCCGCTGGCGAAACTGCCTGCCGACGCTGCCCTGGTACTCCTCCAAGCGGCGGGGCAACGTACTTCCTCTAGCTGGAAAGCGGAGAAGGGCGAGAAGAAGCGGAGGAAGTCCGACGCAGTGGCGGCCTTGGCGAAGACAAAGGCTTCAGATGGCACGGCGAAGCCATCGAAGGCGAAGGCAAAGGCTTCGCTGACGCCGAAGCCGAAGGCAAAAGCCGAGGCAACACCGCAGAAGACTGCGAAGGCGAAGGCGGCAGCATGCAAGCTGAAAGCACCGCGGTATGAAGACGAGAGCACTCGCAGCCAGATTCTCTTCAGGAGCGGGCGCAGCGGGCCAGGCGGCACCAAGAGCAAGAAGCACAGGAACGGCAAGGAGAAGGACACTTTTGGGTCCCATCTCCTCCAATCGGCGTGGCCACGGGGCTCGATGCGTGGCAGCGGAGCGCGTTGTTGCGGCCGCGCGCGGCCTCGCTCCAATCAGATGCGCAAAGAGACCCCGCGGGCCACTTTGCGTTTATGACGGTTTTCATCTGCCACTCAGGAGGCCGCCATCGCCTGGGCCAAGGCGCCGGCGCAGAGCGAGCTGGAGGCTCGCAAGAGCGAGTTCTGAGGCGACCTGCTTCGGTGGCGCGATGCATGACTCTCAGTCGGCTTTGCCGCGGGCGGCGCGTGGGGCGCGCAGCCTGCGTTCAGCAAACAAAGAACTCGGATCGAAATCGGATCGTAATCTTATCGGGCCTTGCTTGTCCTTGCGCTGCTCAGGTGGTTCTTCGTATTTCTTGGAAAGTTTGTCTGGCGGTGCACCGCCGCCATCTGTTGTCGGCGGCGCTCCGCCTTCGCTGGTTCCATTACCGTGGGCGTTCTCATTTCTCTGGCCGCTGCCTCGCCCGCGCCCGCCTCCCTCCGCCGCTCCCCCCGCGCCTTTTCAATTCAAGCAGCCCTTCCCGCGGGTCCCGCGGCGCCCCTCCCCGCGCCGCTGCCGCCAGCGGCCGCGGGCGCTTCGCGGGCGCATGGCGAGCGAGGGCGCGGCCAGCAGCGCCATGGACAACTCCGCGGAGGCGCTGGGTATTCAGAAAACGCCTGCTCAGCCCGAAGCGTCCGCTTGGGCAGTGCAGGTTGATTCCCTGGATTCCTGTTGAGGTGCACATGGCGGCTTCAGATGCGAGCCAATCGCTTTTCTCGCAGGTCGCCGAAGCCTTGAACCTCTTCGAGATGTTCGCCCAGGCTCGAGGGAAACGGATCGAGCGCGCCCGACGCCCATGCGGCCCCGCCCCCCGTTCGCCCGCGTTGGCCTGGATGCAGGCGGCGGCGGGGCAGGGCCCAGAAGCGACGGTGCTCTCGGAGTTTACCTCGCCTTGCGCAGGAGGCAGGCATGGATCGCATCATCGCCGATCCCGCGCCGCCAGGCTAGGAGACGGCGGAGTGCCCTGGCAGCAGCAGCGACCCCTCGCCAATGGCGAAGCAAGGACCGACGCTCATCCCCGTCCACAATCAGGGCGCGGCGCCGAAGTCGCCGCCACGTCGCACCCGAGACGCTAGCGGCACGTGGCGGGCGGAGCAGCAGCAGCAGCAGCAGGAGGTGCAGCAGCAGCAGCCGCCGTCGGAGGAGCCTCAGCCGCCGCGGCGCCAGGCGCAACCGCCAGCAGGCGCGCCCAACGTGGGCGCCTCCGTCGCCAAGGCACCCGAAGTGCCGAAAGCGTCTGCGGCGCCAGAGGACGCGGTGCAGGCGCACAAGTTCTTGCGCCCGCTGCTGAGCGAGAGCGCGCCGATCGCCTGGAACCCCAAGCGCGTCCAGGAACCGCTGGAGCTGCTGCAGCGCTACGTCGGCATCTGGGGTCGCGCCAGCAGGGGGCCGCCCGCGCCCGCGCACGGTGGCCCGCAATTCTGGCGCGGCCAAACGTGGCGCAAGAGCGGGAAGCGCTGGGGCAACCGTGGTGGTTCAGGCCCCAAGTCGGAGTGGTACGCCTCCAAATACGGCCGCGCGCCACCGCGCCGCGCGCTCCAGGACAACGGCGACGGCCCGTACCTCGCGCCGACGCCGCCGCCGCCACCGCCGCCACCGCCGCCCCCGCGGCCGACGGCCGCGAGGTCGGCGCCCGCGGCAAAGGCAGCGGCCGCGCGGCCGCCTCCACTGCCCCTGAAGGTCAAGGCGATGCCTTCTACGAACCGCGGGCTCTACCTCTGAGACTCGCGGGCCGCGGGCGTTGACAACCCCCTCGGAGGTCAGACGCCGACTGAACCATCCATGAGGGGCGGGGGTGCGTGAGAGCGGAGAGGTGGTGGCCGGTGAACCAGGAGAGAAATGGAAAGAGAGCGGAGTAGAAGTTTCAGTCGGCATCTGATTTTCCGATTTTCAAGTGCCGTTCTACGCCACTGGCGGCTGTCGCGGTAGACGTGCGCCGCGCTCGCGGGACCGTCCGCGAATATCCTTTGCGCGCGTCGCCAGCAACAAATCGGCGGGGCACCGCCTGTCATGGGCTCTCGTCGGCGGCACTCCGCCTAACTTCGGCGGTGCACCGCCCGCGCGCGCTGGACTCCCAGCGCCCCCCCCCATTCAACTTCGGCGGTGCACCGCCTGTGCGTGCTCCACGCTCCCTGCACGCCTCCTCCATTCCTCTTATGATGTTTTCCGCAGCCGCAGGCTCCAGGCTGTGCTTGCGCCGCGCTTTTCCCGCGCGCGCCTTCGCGGGCGCCCATTCTTCCCGCCGTCCTCGGCGCGCTCTCGCAGCCTTCGCGGCCGCCTCCCTTCGCGCCGTCTTTGGCGCGCTCTCGATCGCGGGCCTCCAGTGCGCCATCGAGCTCACCTCTTCGCGAGATGCCCGTGGTCAGCGTCTTCGGGTGCACGTGCCCGCTGTCGGGGACCTGCTCGAAAGGCGGGAGTTTCTTCAAGGGCGCGACGCGAGAGGAGGCCCTGTCGAGGCTCAAGACGCACTTGGTGAAGTCGAGCTACCACCTCCTCGAGGAGATCGACGCGGACCTTCAACTGGCCTGCGCCGAGGTCGGCGCGCCCAAACGATTGCCTGCCCACGTCTTTCGGCGAACCTCGGTGGCGCTCGGCTCACCGAGGTCCGAGCGCCTTCGAGGTTCGACGAATGTCGCGAGCGATCGCGGGGCGCGCTTGAAGGTCGAGGAGTGGACTGAGGACACGGACGAGTGGGGGCGCTGGCAGAAGAACAACGACGAGCAGTGGTGCAAGAACAACCGCCGCCGTGGCGCTCGCAGCACGCCGTGCCAGCCTCCCGAGCACGTCGCTCCACTCAGCCAGAGTGCAGTAGCGGCGGCCTTCCCGGAGGGCAGCGGCAAGGGCGGTCCGCTTCAGCTCAACGTGGGCGGAGCGAGCTCGCACGTCAGCGCCAACATCGCGCCCGAGGCCACCGTGCAGCTGAACTCAGCGCAGGCGCAGGTGATCCTCGACGGCGTCACGAGGGCGAGGATGTGCTCGGCGGCCTGCCAGGCAGTGGCGGAGCGGTCGGCCGTGGCGTTCCGCGCCGAGCAGGCGGCCCTCGCCGACCTGCAGGAGACGCTGGCCAGCTGGCTCTCCAACAACGCGTCGTGAGGCCACGTTGGGGTCATCTCGTCGCGGCGGCGTCGGCCGCCCCCTCCGGCCGCCTCGTCGGCCGCCCCCTTCGGCCGCCTCGTCGGCCTAGCAGCCCGCCGCGCCGCCCGCGCAGGGCCTGCATCGGCCGCGTAGGCCGCCTCGGGCCCCTCGGGGGTTCGACGCCGACTGACAGATCGGGGAGGGGCACGGTGAGGGGGGTGCGGAGGGAAGGGGCATGGAGAGGAGCATGGGAGGGGGGTGCGGCATGGGGGGGGGCATGAGAATCGGGGTGGGGCGGGAAGGCTAACGGTCGGCTTCTGACCCCCGCAACTCTTCGGCGCTTCCGCGCGGTCGCTCGCGCGCGCGGGCCGTGCGCGCACTCTTCTTTTTGGCGGGTCCTCCATTCTTGCTTGGAAAATGCGATCCTCATCATCAACGTCATCGTCATCATCATCATCATCATCATCATCATCATCATGTGTAGCATTACCATTCTCATCATCATCATTCCGATCACGACCATAGGAGGACAAGGAGGAGGAGGAGTGGTGGTGAGGAGGGGAGGGCGGGGAAGAGGAGGAGGGAGAGGAGGAGGATGAGGAGGAAGGGGAGGGGGAGGAGTCCTTCCCCACCATGTTCATCATCATTCTCACCATCATCATTCCGATCACCACCATCGGAGGAGGAGGAGAAGGAGGAGGAGGAGCAGCAGGAGGAGGAGTGGTGAGGAAAGAGGATGAGGAGAAGGAGGAGAAGGGGGGGGACGATCTCGGCGCGGCTGCGATGAGGGCTGGTTTCCTGCGCCGCGTATCGCGGCGCATCCTGGCGTATCCTGGCGTATCGCGGCGCATCGCGCGACGGCGCGCAGCGATGCGCCAGGATGCGCCAAGATACGCCGCGATACGCCAGGATACGCCCGTATCCTGGCGTATCCTGGCGTATCGCGGCGCATCGCGGCGCGCCGTCGCGCGATGCGCCGCGATGCACCAGGATGCGCCAGGATGCGCCGCGATACGCGGCGCAGGAACGCAGCCCTCAGCGCAGCCGCGCTGAGCTCGTTCCGATTCTTCGGAATCGCCATCACCATCACCACCTCGCCATCTGACCTTCACCACCACATCACCATCGCCACCTCACCACCACCACCTCACCATCACCAGAAATCATCGTCAGCACCTCACCATCACCATCATCGTCACCACCAGCATCATCATCGCCACCACCATCAGCATCACAACCTTACCACCACGTAGTCGTCGGCGGCGCACCGCCCATCGGTTGGACTTGTCCGCTGTGCTCCGCCCATTGTTT